TCAATTAATCATTCCAAAGCAATCTCCCCATGACTTTTAATATAAATGCATGAATTTTTAAATTTATTCTTTATACTTAAATTTTTTTCATTAGATCTATGCAGGGGCGTAGCTAGGGGGGGGGGGGGGGGTGCGGACCGCACCGGGTGACACCATTTAGGGGGGTGACACCAAGGCAAAAAATAGCAAAATATATAGAGAAAAACTCGAGGAGGGGGGGTGCAAATCGAAAGTTTGAGGGGGGGGGGTGCAAATCGAAAGTTTGAGGGGGGGGGGGGGGGGGGTGCAAATCGAAAACTTGAAAGTTTGTCCCTGGGAAGGGTCTCTATGCATCGGGGGGGGGGGTGACACCATATAAGTGCCGAACCGGGTGACACCCGACCTCGCTACGCCACTGGATCTATGTATAAGTAAACCATCTTGAATGCATGAAAGTAGGCTACAAGAAAGAAAGAAATATTACTATTGTAAATCTGTATCAGTCCTCACAAGCCGATGATGAAAACTGTAATACTAAAGCGAACACACAACTGACGCTGTAAATTACATGTCTGAGGCAAAAAAAAATAAAATGCATGAAATGTGTAAATTTTTAATTTAATATTATATCTGACAGGGATAGGTAAACTGTAGAGACGGTGAAGCCAAAAGTTACAATTCACAAAATTTCTCAGATTTAAAAAACCACTAACATTTATATTTCAATATTATGATCTTTGAACAAAATGGAAATTTATATAGAAAATATATACTTTTATCAGTGTCTCCCCCCCCCCCCCACCATCACCACCACCTCGACCCTTTCCGTATATTTATTAATTTCATTATTTATTTTCATAATGTAATGTATTTATTCCAAATTTGTTTTCAACAGATTTTCACGTAGAACATCTTGTAAAATAATTTGTTTCATCAATCTCTGTCACCAGACTCCTGTTTGATTTGGTTTCGCGTTTATAATGTTAAACTGGACTTTTGAATTTGTCACACATTATAATTCTAATTCACTTACATACTTTGGCATATACACATATGTTTGTTTAATTTGTTTTATTAAAGATAAAGTAGGGTGGGGGGGGGGTTATAAATAAGATTTCGATAAACAAAGAAAGTTTGTTTATTTTCTATTTTTAGTAAATTCATAACCTTGTTATTTAAAAATTTAAAAATTTAGTTTTTAAATTTCATTTGTTAATTTTTATCAGAAATTCTGTATTTTCGGCAATCAAGTTGGTGTTTATTTACGATACAGCCTGTCACTGTATAATCAAGCGATTGTTAATCTTGTAACAGCGTTTTCAGGTTTCAGAGTTTTTAGTAATTATTTTGATGTCTGGTTGTGTTATTTTTGTAAGTCGTATATTTGATAGTGCCTTGTACTAATAACTATTATTTAGATGGTCTACAAAGTTTACGAATAACTATTATATAGATGGTCTACAAAGTTTACCAATAACTATTATATAGATGGTTTACAAAGTTTACCAATAACTATTATATAGATGGTCTACAAAGTTTACCAATAACTATTGTATAGATGGTCTACAAAGTTTACCAATAACTATTGTATAGATGGTCTCCAAAGTTTACCAATAACTATTGTATAGATGGTCTACAAAGTTTACCAATAACTATTATATAGATGGTCCATGATTTATTATATTTATGTATATCCTACAGAACCTATAGGTCATCAAGAAAGTGTACTCAAGAAACTAGTAGCCTCATTACAACAAACTATCTTTTAATATTCAACAAACTAATATTATTCCACATACAAAAAATTATCATCCATCACACAATAAACAATCATCCTCATACAACAATATATCATCCTACATATAACAAACTAATATTATCCCACATACAACAAATTATCTACCATTACACAATAAACAATCATCCTCATACAACAAATAGCATCCCATAGACAACAAACTAATATCACCCCACATACAACAAACTAATATCACCCCACATAATTTGAGCCCCTACACAGAGAAGCACATCGAATCCTCATCCAACTATTTACAACAACATCATCTACCACCTATTAAGTACAACAACATCATCTACCACCTATTAAGTACAACAACATCATCTACCACCTATTAAGTACAACAACATCATCTACCACCTATTAAGTACAACATCATCTACCACCTATTAAGTACAACAACATCATCTACCACCTATTAAGTACAACAACATCATCTACCACCTATCAAGGACAACTACAACAACAATGGATAGCTTTAAACATGACGACGGTCGATAGCGTTAGATCATTTCTGTTACCAGGTCCCCAAGATCCATGTGAGTGTCTTAACGCTGTAAGACTACAAGCTATCGTCTGCAAGTCTGTTTGACAATCGAATAATTATTGCAGACGTTTTTTTTTTTTTTACGATTATCTACAATTGATCTCAATTTACTTGTACTTTATAATGGCAGCGACTTCAGTAGTGTTACAGTTGTATCACACTCTTGTACTTTATAACGGCAGAGACTTCAATAGTGTTACAGTTGATTCACACTCTTGTACTTTATAATGGCAGCGACTTCAGTAGTGTTACAGTTGTATCACACACTTGTACTTTATAATGGCAGCGACTTCAATAGTGTTACAGTTGTATCACACACCCCCTCGCCCCTCCCCCCTTTTAAAACAACCGTTTGTCAATACGCCTGCCTGCTGAGAAAATAATTCAGTTATGTATTTATGTATAGACTAAAGAGATTTCCTTGGGCAAGATTTACAACAAAACCATAAGCAATAGCTGCTATCCCATTACGTACCATAAGCAATAGCTGCTATCCCATTATGTACCATAAGCAATAGCTGATATCCTATTTTGTACGATACGCAATAGCTACTATCTCATTTTGTACCATAAGAAAGAAAGATTAAACAGTGGGAGAAAATATTGTTTTTTTCTTTGTGTAGTTTTGGTGATACAAGATTTAAAGTTTCCTTTGTATGGTTTGTGTGGTTTGTGGTGTTGGTGTGGTGTGTGGTCTTTATATGGTTTGTGGTGTTGGTGTGGTTCGTGGTGTTGGTGTGGTTCGTGGTGTTGGTGTGGTTTGTGGTGAAATAAGATTCAAAGTTTAAACCCGTGTCCAATGTTTCTAGACGCGTGCTCAGTCATACGGAGCCTCCTAATGTCTTTGACTGAGCGTAAACCACTTAGGTGGTTTACTTATAAGCTGGCTGCTAATTGTATCCGTTATTTTAACACACCAATTTGACAGACATAGAATCTATTAAACCCTATCACAAGCTATTGAGCTTTAAAAGGGACTTCTTGCAATAAGATATCCCACCCTAGACTTAGTGATTTTTTTTTCTAATGATAGTTTGTCTCAAATTGTAAAGGCCAATTCTCATAAAATAACAATGGGTATTTTCAAAATTGATAAAATAACAAAGGGTATTTTCAAAGTTGGTAAAATAACAAAGGGTATTTTCAAAGTTGGTAAAATAACAAAGGGTATTTTCAAAGTTGGTAAAATAACAAAGGGTATTTTCAAAGTTGGTAAAATAACAATGGGTATTTTCAAAGTTGGTAAAATAACAAAGGCTATTTTCAAAGTTGGTAAAATAACAAAGGTAAAATAAATGACCATAGTCTGATAAAATAAGGACTGGCATCGCCAAATTTGATAATATAAAAATTAACATCTCATGAAAATATTACAAAAGGTAATATCTCGCGCTACGGTATATGAAAATAATTAAAATCTGAGTCTGATTGTTGAGACAATCAGATCAATACTAAACAATCAAGGCTGCGTTAATTTACTTGGTTAGATCGCAATTAATTATACAAAAACTTTAACATCTGTTTAAATTGAACTTAAAGGATAACAGGCAGCATTAGTTAAGTTGAAGCAAAATAATTAATCAGTGGCATTAATTATGATGTAGCAAATTAATTAATCTGTACATTTAATGCGGCTAACAGATAAGTGTCGACTTCATTAAAATATCAACTTAATATGTCGTTAATTTTACTTTGGAAATATATAACATACAATATTGCAGCATTATTCATTTGGAGCATCCATCTAACTGTGAAATAATATTATTTCAGCTAAAAGATTATTTTTAACTGTAATTTAGATTTACTTAAGTTTTTATTTTTGTTGAAAGTATTAAAAATAAAAACTCCCATTTTAGTTTGATGTTTAGTAAAATGTCTGATCTACACCAACAGACATCCAGTTTACTGAATAAAATGTCTGATCTACACCAACAGACATCCAGTTTACTGAATAAAATGTCTGATCTACACCAACAGACATCCAGTTTACTGAATAAAATGTCTGATCTCGACCAACTACCAGTTTATTCCTGTAGGAACTAGATCTGGAACTAGCCACACTATTTTAGGTGTGTAGAAATTTGGTCAGACAGAAAAGTTTCAGAAATGTCCAGACTGTAAAAGGATTTTAGATAGATGAGTGTATCTTAAGTCTACCTTAACCGGGGGGGGGGGGGGGGGGGGTGTGAGTAAAAGGAGGAGGAGGGAAGTAGGGTTAGTGTTTAGTTTAGATCTGGCTGCTCACACGAGAATGTGGTTGAGTAAAGGTTGTATGAAGTGATGAGTACATAGAGGTGTGGCTGATTTATAGTGGTGTGGTTGAGTACATGGTGGTGTGGTTGAGTACACGGTGGTGTGGTTGAGTATATAGTGGTGTGGTTGAGTACATGGTGGTGTGGTTGAGTACATGGTGGTGTGGTTGAGTATATGGTCAAGTGGCTAAATGTGTGGTATCAGTGTGAATAGAATAATGTGGTTCATTTTATTTTGATGCGGTTGAGTATATAGTCTTTTGGTATCAGTATAGTGTTGTAGATAAAAGTGTGGTTGTTTCATGCTGTATAATGATGTAGATAAGAGTGTGGTTGTATACAGATGTAGATAAGAGTGTGGTTGTGTATTGATGTAGAGTGTGCTGCAGCAGTTTTACAACACCAGCAAGCGTATTGTACTCACCCTCGTCTGCTATGTTGTGCTTATAACCAAAGTTAAGTTCCTCTCTGCTCACCCCCGGGAATCGGGGGGCGGGCAATGTCTGTGGGGTGGACGTGGGGGTCAGGTCGAACCTCCACGGGTACAGGGACCCTGGGGCCGAGCTGTGGGTGGCGCCGTGCTGGTGGCTGGGCTGGTACCCCTGGTTCTGGGGCTCGTTCTGCAGCCCCTGGGTCTGGCCCGGGAAGTACATCCCCCCTAGACTGTTCTGGACGGCAGAGAGCCCGGGGTCCATCAGCCCGGGGTCGCCGACCGGGGACGGGGATGTGGGCTGTCGGCACCCCAGCCCTAGAATCTCCTGGATGGCGAAGGATGGTCGCTGTTGCTGGTACAGCTGCCCGAGGTGGGCGTGGGGATGGTGATGGTGGTGATGGTTACCGGAGTTGTAGTGATGGTGGTGAGGATGTGTAAATCCAGGGGCCATCTGGCCATGGCCAGAGCCCATCTGTAGAAGGCCGTTCATTGATGGGGTTGTCCTAGTCCTAGCTAACACACACAGACTGAAATCATGACGTCAGAACAGGACTTAATATCACAAACTGCTTCCGTCAACTTTAGATCCCTATCGAATTCCGGAATAACACGGGTTCAAATCCGTTTTAACTAACTAATTTTTTTTGTTTAAAAAAAAAAGCTTTCTTATGCTAAAAATATATAAATTAATTATTTCAAAAGAATTTTTGTTTTTTATATTTCTAGCATTCTAGCTATTTAATTGTTTTATGACTAACAAATTTCGACCGTGTTATTTGAAAAATACACATATATAAATAGCTTACTTTAATATTTAGGCCTTATGCATATAATTACATTTTCTAATTATTTCTGGCTTGAAAATAATGTACAGTTCCACTGAATAGAAAGCAACTGCTGAAGTCTATTGACTTAAAACACAGATCCGACTGGCGGCGAGTCTAGCTGCTATGTCCCGTGGGTCTGGCGTCCGTGTACACACCCCGGTCTGCTACACCTACTATCTGATTAGATGCTAATGTACAACTTCCTTTCGCCTGACTTTCTTACGCTGCAAGCCAGGAATTTATCGTCCATTAACTCCGTCACGTAATGACCTTTAACTAAAGCATAAACTGATGACGTAGAACGCGAGGAACCGCCTCGTGAACCGGGCCAGCGAATGCCGTGAGACGTCAAGCCCGACACGGGCATGTAATTGGCCATTAGCGCGGCCTAGCCCCCTCCCACCTGAGCCGACAGCGGTCGGAAGTTTTTTTTTTCTTCTCTCCCCTTGTCTGCCTCACAATGTCTGTCGATGTCTGTCTTGAGACTTGGCCAGCCGTTAGAGTTCCACCTCCATTCAGGCAGGCTTCGCCGCCCTGCGCCTCCCCTCCCTGTCTACATACTCACCCCCCCCTCTCCTCAACCCTCCCCGGCGTAGCCTGTATCTTGAAGTTAACAGTGGTTTATCTCTCGCCAAAATCCAGCGGTTTTCTACTTAAAAACCCTGTCTATGTTTACCAATGGCAATAGCCTATTCACTCCATCCGACCGGTGATAAGAAGGCCCAGCAACATGCCTGTTAAACCTTCATTCTGTTTGTCTGGATTAGAAAGGAATAGCTTGACATCTGCCTTCAACATTCATTGAGTAAGCACCCCCACCCCTCAACTTATTTTACTGGGGGGGGGGGGGGGGGTCCGGAAAGTCAATAGTGTATTATATTTAGATTCCACCAGAACCAGCCAATCACAAGGCCGAGAAGTTCTCTGTTAGTGACATCTCAACGAAACCAACGTTCGAGCTGGGATAAACAAAGAAACAGTCGCTAGGTGGCGCTGTGACTCCAACTTCCGTCAACACATCGTCACAACGTAATCATGGGCTGTCAGAACATTCGATTTGCTCTATAGATCATACGCTCAATTTGATTTGCTCTATAGATCATACGCTCAATTTGATTTGCTCTATAGATCATATGCTCAATTTGATTTGCTCTATAGATCATACGCTCAATTTGATTTGCTCTATAGATCATACGCTCAATTTGATTTGCTCTATAGATCATATGCTCAATTTGATTTGCTCTATAGATCATACGCTCAATTTGATTTGCTCTATAGATCATACGCTCCGTTTGATTTGCTCTATAGATCATATGCTCAATTTGATTTGCTCTATAGATCATACGCTCAATTTGATTTGCTCTATAGATCATACGCTCAATTTGATTTGCTCTATAGATCATACGCTCAATTTGATTTGCTCTATAGATCATACGCTCCAATTGATTTGCTCTATAGATCATATGCTCAATTTGATTTGCTCTATAGATCATACGCTCCATTTGATTTGCTCTATAGATCATACATTCAATGTAGGTCCTCTATGTGGTCAGCTGAGTTCATATAGTGTCAGGTATCAATGCCCCTATCAATGCCCGTATCAATGCCCGTATCAATGCCCGTATCAATACCCATCGATAAACTGGTGACGTCACGGCAGACGACTCAGTTTTTCTGTTGTCGGATTTACCTGGACTAGACGTGGCTTCTCACGAAGTCAAACATGTCTTGTTTGATCGGTTCTTTGTATTTTAAATAAGTTTCTCTTTCACTGCCAGATGTATTTGGAGCGCTAGTATATTATACTATGTGCATATGTATATGCCTTTGAATCTCTGTAATCAATCAAAGGCGTAGCGACCCATCCCAGCGCCCGGGGCGAACTATCGACTTAACGCCTCCACCCTCCTCCATTGATACATATCTTTATTCATGTTGGCTAAGAAAGCTCCCCCCTCCCCATTTGGAAAGATTCGTGGGGGGGGGGGGGGGCTTTTAAGCAGTTACTACCCCTTACTTGTTTTTATTTCGGTTTCACACAATTTATGTAAACATCATTTACGTCATCCATAAGTAATCTGCAAAGCCAAGTTACTTCGACTGTGTGTATTTGAGTAAGTGAATTCAGGATGAGCTTTTTAACTTGTCCGTTTGGAGACCCTAGCTCCTCTAGTTACGCCTCTGTAATCAATCTGTTACCATCTGTAATCAGATTTTACCTAGCTGTAATTGAATTCCTGGTCACCCCAAAAAAAAAAAAAAAACGACACGACCGTACAAGGTTGAGGGGCCCACATTTGATGCACATAGAGGGAACGACGCGTGGAACCAGTCCATCACACTAGAGCCGTAGCGACCCCGGGGACAAACTTTCGATTTGCACCCTCCCCCCCCCCCCCTCAAACTTTCGATTTGCACCCTCACTCTAACTTTCGATTTGCACCCCCCCCCCCCTCAAGCTTTCAATTTTTTGTTTTTCCAACCCATTTTGGCGCCCCCTAAGGTCGGCTTTCAATTCGTTTTTCCAAAACATATGTCCCCCCCGCCCCCCCCCCCCTCGCTACGCCTCTGCATCACAATGACAAAATAGGAAATTTTTTTTAAAATAAATATTTCCCCATTCTTATAATTTTAGTGTGATCATAAAAGTAATTGAATTTCGTAATTTCTTTGAATAGTTCATTGTTTTTATGTATTTAAAGATCCCAGATTTTATATTGATTTCCTTTTTCGAGATTGTCATTTCTCATTACAATTTTCTTATACTTGTCCTTCACTTGACATTGTTGCGTTTTTGTGACATGTGTTTGTTTACTATTTTCTCCAGCATGTAATGGTGTATCACCTAATTCAGAAACAAACTTCTGTGATGCTTTTATCACATTTTCCTAACACTGTATCTTCACTAGCACACGAAGTCGTTGGCAGTGTTTCTTCCAAACTTTTTTCTCGGAGGGGGGGGGGGGGGGGGGGGGGCGGACTAAAATTCCCGTTAGGGGGGGGGGCAGACACTGTTAAAACAATGTATTTTCTGTATAGAAATTCCATTCCGTTTTTAATTAATCTACCTTATGGTCTCAGTATGTGTGCCCCCCCCCCCCATTCATAATCTTCGTAAATAAATGTGCGTGTTGTGTGTCCCGTAATTCTGCTATTTAAGGAAGTGTTATGTCTTCTGGACCCCCTAAGGCCCTCTCGGACCCTCCCCGCACTCTCGTCTATTGCGGGGTTCGGCAGTCTACAAGAAACACTGGTCGTTGGATGTAGACAGGTCATTGCCACACTCTCGTCTATTGCCGGGTTCGGCAGTCTACAAGAAACACTGGTCGTTGGATGTAGACAGGTCATTGCCACACTCTCGTCTATTGCCGGGTTCGGCAGTCTACAAGAAACACTGGTCGTTGGATGTAGACAGGTCATTGCCACACTCTCGTCTATTGCGGGGTTCGGCAGTCTACAAGAAACACTGGTCGTTGGATGTAGACAGGTCATTGCCACACTCTCGTCTATTGCCGGGTTCGGCAGTCTACAAGAAACACTGGTCGTTGGATGTAGACAGGTCATTGCCACACTCTCGTCTATTGCCGGGTTCGGCAGTCTACAAGAAACACTGGTCGTTGGATGTAGACAGGTCATTGCCACACTCTCGTCTATTGCCGGGTTCGGCAGTCTACAAGAAACACTGGTCGTTGGATGTAGACAGGTCATTGCCACACTCTCGTCTATTGCCGGGTTCGGCAGTCTACAAGAAACACTGGTCGTTGGATGTAGACAGGTCATTGCCACACTCTCGTCTATTGCCGGGTTCGGCAGTCTACAAGAAACACTGGTCGTTGGATGTAGACAGGTCATTGCCACACTCTCGTCTATTGCGGGGTTCGGCAGTCTACAAGAAACACTGGTCGTTGGATGTAGACAGGTCATTGCCACACTCTCGTCTATTGCCGGGTTCGGCAGTCTACAAGAAACACTGGTCGTTGGATGTAGACAGGTCATTGCCACACTCTCGTCTATTGCCGGGTTCGGCAGTCTACAAGAAACACTGGTCGTTGGATGTAGACAGGTCATTGCCACACTCTCGTCTATTGCCGGGTTCGGCAGTCTACAAGAAACACTGGTCGTTGGATGTAGACAGGTCATTGCCACACTCTCGTCTATTGCCGGGTTCGGCAGTCTACAAGAAACACTGGTCGTTGGATGTAGACAGGTCATTGCCACACTCTCGTCTATTGCCGGGTTCGGCAGTCTACAAGAAACACTGGTCGTTGGATGTAGACAGGTCATTGCCACACTCTCGTCTATTGAGGGGTTCGGCAGTCTACAAGAAACACTGGTCGTTGGATGTAGACAGGTCATTGCCACACTCTCGTCTATTGAGGGGTTCGGCAGTCTACAAGAAACACTGGTCGTTGGATGTAGACAGGTCATTGCCACACTCTCGTCTATTGCGGGGTTCGGCAGTCTACAAGAAACACTGGTCGTTGGATGTAGACAGGTCATTGCCACACTCTCGTCTATTGCCGGGTTCGGCAGTCTGGAAGAAACACTGGTCGTTGGATGTAGACAGGTCATTGGTGGTGGACATTCAGTTTCCCTTAGCAAATATTGTGTTGTTGTTCCGGCGTCAGTCAATGGGTACATTTCTATTTACCCTCGCTATGGT